ATTTTTTTATTCACAATCTCCTCATCACAGGCAGGCACAGCACTCAATTTAGCATGTGTTCCTGTTTGTGTGTGCTGTCTGCGTCACTCATAGCACGTGCCTATATTGTGCACTGTATCGAACATTTTTTATATCGTTATCGAAGAAGGTGTACCGTCGATAAATATCGATACCGTTTTATCGCCCAGGCCTATTATCATCAACAATAAGGCCTTTATGTTGATATACTGACTAGGGCTGTGCGATTATTCGAAATCGTCATAAAATCGCGATTTGAGCTTGCACGATTTCTAAATCGCTTTATAGCATGATTTTCCGCGTGACCGAACAGAACAGACCGGGCGGGCATACAAACGTAATGCCAGGTCCACACACTCCGTCTGTGGTGCGTATTTTTTCCGCTCCCATGCTAATGGATCAGAGCGTTCACACTGCACGCGATTGCGGTCCCGCAGTGCGCTCCAGGAGCGGTGCGTCTGCAGCAGTCATGCTGCGATCGTTTCAGCCAATTTGACCAATGCATGGCAAAAAAATAAATCCCTGGAAAAGGGATTTTTTTCCCCTGCCATATGTCTATTCTAGAGACATTTTGTTACACCTTTAACTTAGTGATTATTTTGCCTTATGTCTGTTCTAGAGACATGTTACAGCTTTTTGATAAAGCTCTAATTGGTTTTCTTTTGGAAATATGTTTCAAATTCACACTGAATTGTGTTGTGTGTCAAAATCGTGGTTAAAATCGGAATCGCAATAATGATCAAAGAAATCGCGATAGGTTTTTTTTGTCCATATCGCACAGCCCTAATACTGACCTCTTTCTGAAGCACAATGCTTCGATGCACAGTAGAATCACAAACAGGCTAGTCTTTGCCAAAAGAGACCATTAGCCACAGACAACTACCTCCATTAGCTACGGTCAACTGAACACGGGTCACTAGCTAAACATCTATTAGAGGCCTTGCAACTGTAGGAGAAAACCAATACTGAGTGACAGTACTAAAAGTATCCTAACTTTTTATTTGTTACTCTGTAAACACTTGCAAACAACATAAACCTCTGCAAAACGACCGCATATAGTTGCAAACATAAACATACGGTCTGTGTTTGGCTTGGGTTAATCTCAGCTAGCCTCCGAAATCCCGAGGGCCTCTCAGTGTCAGCGGCTGAGCTTCATCCGACAGTCAGATCATTGTTAAACAAGCAATCTAATTAATTCTGAAGCATTTATTTCAGGAAGAAGTCAACGGCTAATTCGATCATATCAAAACAATGAAATATAGCTGTGAAATTGAAACCTTTAATTTAATCAGCCATTTGACGATGGCATCCTGTGAGGATGTCCTGAATGGAGAGACTCTCTACAAGACTCCATCGGCACATCAGAGATACGATTTATTCATCCGAAACAGGCAGAGGGTAAAATATGACTGTCGTCTCCACATGCAAACCAAACATCCATGAATAACGGGTCACTGCCTGTGCAGTTTCGTGTTTTCGCTTTTTTAAAATAAGCGCCATTGAGTGGATTCCCAGAAATCTCCCAGGTGGGTGAATCCATTGTGACCGTGACACTACTTTTCCATAGATAAGCCTCTTGAGCAGCAATTAAGATGTATGCAGTGATGTTTTTGAATATCTGAGCATCAGATGAGGCTTAAAATTTGCAGAGAAGAAAGTAAACATCAGCGAGGAAAATAACAAGAAAACAGGACACGTGGACAAAATGTGATTCGATACTCAATTCATCTAAAACATCATCTCCACTGACAACAATTCAATTCTGACACATCTAACTGTATCTTTTGCACCTGCAAAGCACTCATATATTATTTTAATAACTCTGCTGACCTAAAAACACCTTCATGACACTGCATACAGAACGTAGGTCCAAACCCTTCAACATAGTTACATAGGGAAAAAAAAAAAAACTTAATTCTAATTCTAGGGTTTTCAATCAGAGGTCCATGAAAAATGTAATAAAGTTAATATTCCTAATGAAAGTCATTGGCTGAGTCTGGGTGGGGATCCCTGGGTTTTTACTGGTTGAAAACCCCCTGTGAGCATCTGAATTACTTTTATTTATGATTCATTTTCCAATACGCTGGACTCTATGGTATTTGAAAATGACAACTCATTAGATAAATAATGCATTATTAAAATGATACAGATATTTACATCAGGGTAATTCCATGGTAGAGTGCTTTTGTGTACCTCATGAACATATGTCAACAGTGGCTTTAACAAAGAATAGCTGACACCAGCTTTCAATGTTTGTTTTTATAGCCAACACCTTCTCCTTGATATTAGCAAACACACACCTTTAGATGGAAATGGAAATAAATGTTAGCACTTTCTCTCTCTAAATATTTTGAGATTTTGTTTGACATAGGCTACTTTATTAAAAGCATTTTAAGTGTCCAAAAGTTATGCATCAACCACGTAATCCTCAAAACTCTCCTATCTTAAAATGATGCTACATTTCTGAAATAAGCAAACGTCATCTTCCTGTTATTGTGTGAACTCATCTCTTAAAGGAGTCATATGATGCGATTTCAATTTTTCCTTACTCTTTGGAGTGTTTACAAGCTCTTGGTGCATAAAGAAGATCTGTAAAGTTGCAAAGACTAAAGTCTCAAATCCAAAGAGATATTCTTTATAAAAGTTAAGAGTCAGCCACGCCTACCTAAAACGGCTCGTTCTAACACGCACTATACCTACGTCACTATGTGGGAAGATTTGCATAACACCGCCCAAATGTTCACACAAAGAAAGAAGGCATAACTTTTATTCACGCTGTAGTATTGTTGAGACGAAAATGTGGAATAAAGTAGTTATTTTTGTTTTCTTTGCCCAAAAAAGTATTCTCGTAGCTTCGTAACTTTACAGTTGAAGTAAGTTGATACAGTTGATGTCACACGGACTACTTTGTCAATCATCTTGGTACTTTTCTGGACCTTGACCGTGGTAGTTACCTTGCTGTCTATGGGAGGGTCAGAGAGCCCTCATATTTCATCAAAAATATCTTAAATTGTGTTCAGAAGATGAACGAAGGTCTTACAGGTTTTGAACAACACGAGGGTGAGTAATTAATGACAATTTTCATTTTTGGGTGAACTAACCCTTTAAAATGACTTCGTACACTACACAGATTATGGAAAACTCGATATCTATAGAAATATCAGGATTAAATTATCTTTCTAAAACACACTATAGTGACCTTGTATGGCTAAATTAACGGTTTAACCCCAACAGCTTTATCCATATATAAGGTCTATACTAAAATTTGGGGATTTAGCTTGAGGTTGTGCAATGCAGTTTCTTTACCCTTAAACACGGTCTTTTCTATAAAACATTTACTTTTTTTCCAAAATGAAATAGGCCCTAATTTCATAGATGAAATCAAATGATATATATATATATATATATATATATGATATATATATGAATAGATATCAAATGACAAATCATAATACATAAACCCGGAAAACGGGAAATAACAGAGGAAGCTGTTAGGTTGTTATTATTATGACGTCACGGTGTGTTTTTTCAGCCCTATTTCGAAATACATCCGCTCAATATGATGCATTTTTTTCTACGATGCGTTTCATTTTCTTGAGTCAAGTGTTCCCTAAATTATCTACATTTTCGAAACCATGTTGTTTTTGGGATGCTGCTGGAAAGTAAGACAGAATATATTGGTTCCGGATAAATGTCATTCGTAAACAAAAACGTCAGACTAACTTCCTTCCTTCCTTTTCTTTTAAAGAGTTCTTCCATTTCTAAATGTATAGGAACGGCAAACAGTCCATCAAACCCATTAGACTTATTCAGGATTTTAATATCAGCGTATTTATTTGATTTTAATTAATGTTCTGTGCTGTTGTACTGAAGTGTACTCAACAAACTATGTATTTTTGCTTTCGCTGTCTAAATTGCCATTACGTGTACAATATTTGTTGCGCTCCCTACTTTGTACATAATGAACAGATTATATACTGAATATTGAGCACAAAATGATGCAGAGCGGCTCTTACCGTGGCAGACACCAGGCTGCTGTCCGTCAAGGTGAGGTGGTGCGGCTCCCACCTCCGTAAAAATTTGGAGGTGAGGAGCTTACTGAGGAAGGTCCGCGGGTACTTGACCACGCACACCTGGATGTCCCCCTCCTGGAGCAGTTTGTATCTCATGCCGCTGCTGCTGTGTAGAAGGCTCCTCTTGCTGCAGGGCCCCGCTTTGTGATTATTATTCCCCTCCGGCGGCGGCGGCTGCTGCGCGGACATTTCCCCCAGCAGAGGCTTACTCTCTTCGGACGGATAAAACTGATTGTTGTGCAGCTCGTTTCCCCCACCGCTCCCGTTAAAATCCATGATTCCCCTCAGCGAAAATCGACGGCGTTGAATCAGATCAGGTGGCTGTCTTTTGATTTCGAGGCCGAATAATGGCGTTCCAGTGTTTGGCATATAGAGGTTCACGCGATCCACCCTGACTCGACCTCAACAGAGCTACGGAAAAGACAAGGGTCGGCGACGGCGAGGATTGAAGCCATTAAATAAGCCCGTCAAGATGAGGAAGGTTCAATGAAGTATAATGTCTTTCCTTTGAGCGTCGAGGGCTATTCAATATGTTCGAGCCATTATCGTAACCATTCCGTCTCTCTCCACTGCATATTATTCCAGTCTTCCTGCTCCGAATATGAAACAATGACCAGGTACAAGATCCACGCTGCGTTCAATTTTATTTGTTCTTCAGATGCTCGGAGTCATGGTTCCCTTTTCTGTCATTTTTCCTCCCTATCTCGGTGGAGGAACCGAGTGCTTCGATAGGGCTGCGTGTGGATTGGTCCCGGCTCGTTCATGTGATACCGGAGTGACGTCAATGGGGAGGCGAACGGATGCGCGTCTCTGTTTGATAGGGAGCGCGCACTTCCCTTCTCTCGAGCAAAATGGTGAAAAGAAAGAGGGCATATGGCAAACCGTTTTAGCATTTATAGTATCGATTTTACATTGCAAATACTTTTTTGAATTATGATCAGTGGTGTAGTGGTGCCTGGAGAAGTGGGTATACTCTTAATTTATGTCCCCATTTTTTTAAGCGGCCCAGCAAAGGATGAACGGCCTGTGTTATAAACGGTGACGTAAGACTAGTCTTGCATATTTAGTTCACCCCAAAATGGGCCAGTAGTATTTGCACATTTTCACTTTCTGTAACTTCTGCTACTTGACTTACTGGAGTAAGGATCATTATGAAATTAATATTAGCCACAAAAGAGGTGCAGATTTTGCAATAAATAATTAAAATGTAAAAATTACATAGACTGCAAAAGTGGGTATACGCAAAGCCGACTGATAAAGAAGTGGGTATACGCCGTATACCTGCGTATACCCTCCACTACACCACTGATTATGATGGTATACCTTTTAAATTTCACACTAGCAACTATGTAGTCTACATGTACTAAAATAGTTGTTAAAATCTATTCAGTTAGATTCATTGTGTGTTAGTACCGTACTTATTCCTTTACTACTTTTACTCCTTTACTCCTTTTACTACTTACTATCACTGTAGTGACACAGCCTACTGAAGTCAAAAACACGGTAGTGACACATATTAAAGTCAAAAATTGTGTGTGTGTGTGTGTGTGTGTGTGTATATATATATATATATATATTAATACACGAGTTTCACAATTTGAGTTGAATTACTGAAATAAATGAACTTTTCCACGACATTCTAATATATTGAGATGCACCTGTATAAAACGTGTGATACCTTGCCCTGACCTGACTAAAAAAATTATATTCCAAACTTTTGTTTTAAATCTTTGTTGTACAGTTGAAAATACCTTAATGCATATTATAGTGTATTATTTTCCTTTCTGTACTCAACAGATATTACAAACAGTATGATTATGTTATTTTTAGAGATTGGAGGAGAGTTACCAAAATGTGTCATCATCATAGTATAGTTTTGAAAGTAATTGAGTTTGACTCTAACATACAAGCATTTATATGTTCATGAATATGCAAGCAAAATTAAGAAGTTTGAAATTCCCCTGATTGTGTTGCAGTTCACAGCCCTCCATCCGACTTTTGTTTGGCTTAAACAGCAAAGTCTGAAAATAAATAGGCCCACATTTGGTCATTTGAGTTAGATATTTATTCAACTGGGATACTTCTTCTGGCCACTTGCTCTCATTCTGCATGAAGTGCACAAGATTTCTTGGGAGGCCGAAGCAAGCAGGGCCACCCACACTCTAAACAAAGCCTCAGTCACAAAAATGAATACTCCCCCGCCTCTGACAACATTGTTATTGTGCTTGTAATCTTTCCTAACGCATTAGTGACAACATATTTTATCAGAATGAGCCATGGTGGTGTGGAGCAGATGATAATGCTTGTTCATATACTTCCAGACTTCCAAGTGGTAAAATCTTTCACTGAAATGCACCAGTGCTCAGATGTTAAATGACTTATGAAACGGTCTTTGTATCAGCAAGTTAAAGGGAAGTGAGATTTTTTATCTGCGCTTTCGTTCTGTCATTGACTATAGTGCACTGGCGGAACTGATTTGTTTTACATAAAGGAATATATCATGAAAGGAACAATATGTCATCATTCACTCATATATCGATCCAAATCTGTTTTAATTTATTTCTAAAGAAAATCACTCTTTTGAATATACTAAAAAATGTCACACTTTTTTATTTTTTAGTAATATAATCATTCCAAACCTGTATGACTTTCTTTCTTTAGAAAATCATAGACACTTTTTTCCATATAGGAAATAATATAATTGGTCCAAGCATGACTTTGTTTTTTTTAAGAGTCACTCTTTCCCATAATAAAATTTCACACTTTTACTATATTCAATAATATAATCGTTCCCTACCTGTATGACTTTCTTTCATAAGAAGAGTCACTCTTTTCCATATAGTAAAATTTCACACCTTTATTATATTCAATTATATAATCAGTCCATACCTGTATGACTTTCTTTCATAAGAGTCACTCATTTCCATAGAGTAAAATTTCATTTTTTTAATAATATTCAGTAATACTATCAGTCCAAGCCTGTATGACTTTCTTTAGTCACTCTTTTCCATATAGAATTTCACACTTCTATTATACTCAATAATGTAAATGGTCCAAGTCTGTTCGACTTTCTTTACAAGAAGATCTTTTCACTCATTTACATAAAATTTCACATATTAATTATATTCAGTAATATAATTGGTCCAAACATGACTTTTCTTTTTCAAGTCAGTCTTTTTCATAATAACATTTCACACTTTTATTATAATCTTTCCAAGCCTGTCTAACTTTCTTTCTTAGGAATATCCTAGTCATTCTTTTCCCTATATGAAAATTTCACACATTTATTATATTCGATAATACAGTCGGTCCGAGTCTGTATGACTTTCTGTCTTCAGAATATCCTACTCACTTTTCCATATAGGAAAATATCACACTTTTATTATAAATTAATGGGCTGAACATTCTTCAGAAATTCGCTTTCCACAGAAGACAGTCAAGCGGGTTTGTTTTGACATGTGGATGAGTAAATAATGGCGAAGTTCATTTTTAGATGAACTGTTCCTTTAACAAGTTTGACCCACAAAGTTATCTGACATGTGATTAGTTTCCTAGAAGACATATTTTGGTGTACGGTGTCTCAGCCATTACATTATAACGTGTTAAATGATCACACAACCATTCCTGATGACATACTCGTAGAGGGTGGGACTGTCGTATCTTACACTGTGAATTCTGCTGATGTATGAAGTGTGTATGGTCTGTGGAGTCAGTACAGGCAATGAGATCACCACCTCGAGGACTGATTAATCCCAGAGGAAAGATCTAAACATTCGCACACTGCCCTGCCTTTTTGCTGACGGCTTGTTCCACGCATTGGTTGCTGGGATGAAGGCATCACATCCCTGGTGGGAATACTGTGGTAATGTTGTGCTGTGTAAGCAACCAAAATGGTGAGTAAGAAAAGCAAACTGCATCACTTGACTTCCCCAATCGAATGATCTGCATGCCTCCTGACCAGCCCCTTGACGAGGAAGTGAATCAGGCTATACAAAGTCATTCACAAGTCATATCAAATGGAAAGGAGGAAGTCTTTTGTTTATGTTGTCAGTGAACATGCTGGGTTGATGTAAGAGGTGTTGAAATAACTTCAACTACATTCAAATGAGGTTTGCATGCACTCCAACTGGGAGAAAGAATTTTCTTGCTCTGGTCTTTTCCCATCATACTTGCATTACTCAGTCTGACCGATGGATTATAAAAAGTCACTTGTTTGGACCATATATGCAACACTTGGTCACAAACTGCAAATAGAGTCACATGCTGTAAACCTAAGCTGAAAGTGAAACAGCTGTCTGTGGTTGTTTGGTTCTTTGATGATGGGGCTTTTACAGGAAAACCCTCTTGTATGCAAGTAACTTTTTAATTAAAGATGCGTAGTGGGTTAATTTACAAAGTGTCACGTTTTTTTTTTCAAGCGAAGTCTATTTTAGGACCATTAAAGGGGTCATAGGATGCCCATTTTCCAAAAGTTGATATGATTCTTTAGGGTCTTAATGAAAAGTCTGTAACATAGTTTGGTTAAAATTTCTCAATGGTAGTGTAAAAAACACCTTTTTTACCTTGTCAAAAACAGCTCTTTTCAGATCAAGCCGTTTTTGTAGCATTTTCCTTTAAATGTTAATGAGCTCTGCTGACCCCGCCCCTCTCTTCCGAGCTGCTCTCAGAGAGACTGTTTACTTTAGCCGCATTCATCGTGAAACTTGCTAATTAGCACATTATTAGGAAAGGCGATTTGCAAAGATTCATTACAAAACATTATACTCACTTCTTCTGTAGATGAGGCTGGATCATGAATGATTCGCGCAAACATAGACGCATTTATGTAGACCGGGGGCGCATTCCCTTCAGAAACAATGCAATCCACTGCGAGTTCAGCGGCTCAGATGTCGGGAGTAAATGACGACTGCTATGTTCATTATTACATCCAACAACAGAACACCTCAATCGCTTGCTGAAACGCTACTGTCAATCAAACTATCGTGGGAGGGGGCTGTCTTTGTGACATCACACGGACAGGCATCTGAGATCGGCTCGATTTGAGAAAGGGGAAAACATTTAACCAGATTAAAAAAAAAAACACTGGGTGGATTTTTATCATTATAGGGTGGTTGTGTACACACACTGCCAACACACATTTCAGTTCAAACAACTTGTAAAAGTGCATGTAGCATCCTATGACCCCTTTAAGACTTTTATGACATTATGATATTTTCATGAAAATGTAGCACATTTTCCCCCAGTTTCGTTTTATGATTTAGGTTTTCCCCTCTCATGATTCTCAACTGCGATACTCCTTTTGTTGTAATACCGTATTGCACAGTAAAAAAAAAACTTATAATGAAAATAATTTTTATTGTAATCCGCACAAATTAAAGGCAGTAATAAATACTACCACAATGTAAAAATACTTTTATACATTTAAAGTATAACATATAAATATCCCTTATGTAATATTATATTTTTGCATAGTAATAAGAATTATATATATATTTTTTGTATTACAGCATTTATAGTACAGCAAGAATGGGGGAAGATTTATTTGTCATGAAAATACTGTCATAATTAAAAAATATTAATGGTCCAAAATAGGCTTTGTTTTTATTTCATTTCATTTCATTTCATTACTTCATAAAATAAAATAAAATAAAATCATTTTGGGGTAAACGTTTTAGCCATGTTCTTCAGTTTTCATGAATTTTGTCAACTCGGCTGCAGCACACCAGATTTTTTATTAATAACTGATCCTAAACTATTAAAATATTTTTTGTTGATTG